GCTACTAGGTTGGCATCTCGGTCCCCCCCATTCACTGTCGAAACAGTTAAAGGTAACCGCCTCTTCTACACCAACAGCTTCCTCTTTCGCACTTCCCTACAGTGGAACTCCCTTCCTCTTACTTGCTTCCCTGATAGCTATAATCTTCAAATATTCAAATGTAATGTCAATCGACATCTTATGATGCTTTGATCTTGATCCCCGTCCTTCTCTTTATCCTTTCCTCATGCACCCCTTTTACTCGTGCTCTCGCTCTCTGTAATCCCTTGCGTGCTAGTGGGACTCTCGCCTTACTTGGGGTGAAATAATTTAAAAAAATATCGAATGTTTGATATTGGGGTAGTGCGTCACTCTAAGATATTTATATGTGCTCCTCGTTTCTGATAGATTCGAGAAGAAAAACAAGAATTGTCTAAAATAAAAAGGAATACCTGATTTGAAGAAATAGCTAAAAAGGGGGAAAAAAGAAGAAAACTTATAGTACGAAATGGAAGAGTATGATCAGACGATTGTCATCGCTAACCTCAACTGGACAATGGCAGTATATTTTGAAACAGAGAGAAATTCACTCTACTTAATCCTGTTCAAAACCACAAAATTGTTTCACTCTGCGCATGACCATTTCTACCGGAAGCGTGTAGCACATATAATGATCTTAGAGTAGTTCTTTTCTGTCTTCAATAATTATTTCTTCTTTTCTTTCCTTTTTCTATCGTTCTCTTTTTCCTTATACGTCCTTTTTTTATTTTCTTTTTGTTTGTTTCTTTCTTTCTCTTGCTCCTACTACGTCCTTTTTTTCGACTTTCTTTCTTTCTTTCTTGCCATCTTTCTTTCTTTCTTTCTTTCTTTCTTTCTTTCTTTCTTTCTTTCTTACTACGTTCCTTTTCTCCTTTCCCTTTCGCTTTCATTCTTTCTTTATTTCTCTTTTTCCTACGACTTCCTTTTTTCACTCTTCCTTTTTCTTTTACTCTTTTATTCTTTCTTTCTATTCTACTACGTCCTTTTTCGCTATTCCTTTTCTTTCTTTTTTTCTTTCTTTCTTTCTTTCTTTCTTTCTTTCTTTCTTTCTTTCTTTCTTTCTTACCCACTATGTATTTTTCACTCTTTCTTTTTCTTCTGTTTATTTGTTTCCTACTACGTCTTTTTTATCGCTTTTCTTTTCTTTCTTTCATTATTTTTTACTTTCTTCTTTCTTACTTTCTCTTTTTCTTACTACTCTCTCTTTACGATTTAGTTTTCTTTCTTTTTTCTTTCTCTCTTTTCTTCTTTCTACTTCCTTTCTACGCTTTTCCTTTTTTCTATCTTCTTTCTTTTTATTTTTCTTATTACATCCTTTTTAACTTTTCTTTCTTTCTTTCTTTCTTTCTTTCTTTCTTTCTTTCTTTCTTTCTTTCTTTCTTTCTTTGCTGTTTCGCACCCTTTAACCTCTTTCTTTCTCTGCTATATTTCCCCACCTCTCTCGTTTTCTTGCTTTTTCACCTTCTTCATCCTCATTATTTATATCTGTTACCCCCCTCCCCTGCCTCATAAAATGCCGGAGAGTATAAAATAAAACAAAAATAAACATAAAAAAAACCCGTAGCTGATCACAAGAAAATGTCAAGAGAGAAAATACCACACGGCTCTTTACAAAATTAAAATGCGAATTAGCCAGTCGCAAAGGAAATTTGACTGAATGGAAAAATATTAACCCCCAACTAAATAGATGAACGTTAACTGGAAAGAGGGAATTGACGTCTGAGGTAATTACTATCGAATCAGAATTAACGAACAAATGGTGTACGGAGAGCTCGTTAAACGGAATAAGAGAATGGAACGAAAGAATATACGCATAAGCGAATATATCTATGAATATAAAATTAATGGACGTTTGATTGTAATATAATCAATAATGAAAAGCAAAAAACATAAATAAACGCGTAAGAATGAAAGAAAAGAAAAACAATCGAATGAATTAACGAAATGGGGCCAAAACGTAAAAAAAAACAAAAACGGCCAAACGAAAACGAGAATAGGAAATGACTAAAAATAGAAGACTGATCATATAGTCAGCACCCGTTGACATCCGATCACCGGAATCGTCATCCTCTTTCTGTATTCCTTTTCTCACCTCTGGTGGAGGTGGCGGAGATGGCTGTGAAGGCTTTGCCTACTCCTGAAGTCTGATTATATACAAGAATTCCGAATCAACAAGCGAATAAAAAAAACAAACTTACTCTCATTAGTGATAATCTGAAATTCGGAGATGAAATTGTTATTAATTTTTATTATTATTATTATAATTATTATTATTGTTGCCATTATTGTTATTATTATTATTATTATTATTATTATTTTATTTTTCTTTGATTTCTGGCGTGTACTCCTGTCTTTCCGGGTCCTGACTAGAGACCTAAGGTCAGAAATTGCTTCATGACATTTTACACTGCGCAATTAAAATATATATATATATATATATATATATATATATATATATATATATATTACATATTCATAAGGTGTGGGCTGTACACGTGAGAACAATTTTTTGTATTTCTTCAAGACCTGGGCTTCCAGGAATCCCTTCATTGAGCTGTTGGGATCTTTTCCAATCAATCCAAGGGCTCCAACTGCAACAGGAATTGTTGATGTTCCCATATGCCAAATTTTTGAGATTTCTATTTCAAGGTCCTTATATTTTGATAGCTTTTTGAAGATCTTCAACGATACATTGCAGTCTGCAGGGCCTGACATATCAATAAGGAGGCAATTTTATTTTTGCAGTCTCTTCTAAGAACAATGTCTGAGCGGTTAACTTTGATTTTTCTCTCTGTGTACATTGTATAATCTCATAAAATTGTAATAGGTCCTATCTCCGTAACCTCGTCTAGGTGGTGTTCATATCAGTTTCTTTCAATTTCCTTCCCGTAGAAGTTGCAGATTTATTATTATTATTATTATTATTATTATTATTACTATTATTATTATTATTATTAAATATAGCATTACTATTATATAACTACATATTACTATATATAAAATATATTATTATCGTCATTATTATAACCTATTCATGAATAGTGTTAACCGTTATCTTCACAAATCCGCATAAACTCTGCCTTCATAAACTCTACCTTGAATGACTCTTGGGCCTTGTACAGTATTGATAATCATTTGTCATTATCTTTAATTGCTTGGGTTTATTTTCAGCGTAAACTACACGCTGCATATTTTCCCTTTAGAAGTTGTGAAAAACAGCAGCAGAAGTGATGAAGATGATTGATAAAGCCGATGGAGATGATTCGGTTGCAAGAAATACATTTTGGGAATAGTTGCCAAAGAAGAGTAAAGTGAATCTTACTTAGATAATTATAACGTCATGGAAAGAGGCAAAGATTTCAAAGTAATAATTATTATAGATTGATAAACCCACTCAATCAAGGTTAGTATTAACAGAACTGTATGGTGTCTAAAGAATCTATGTTGGGCTCTTCCACCTACTATAAGATTAGTAGGAGAGAAGGCCTTGGGGTAACATTCGAATAGATTAAGATGTTCTGACCAAGTAAATGGTTAAAGAAAAACAAAACAGTTCGTGCAACAGTAGAGTATTACACGACTAGTGAGTGTGTGTCAGTTGACCGAGAGTTCAATCTATTCGACTGTTATATTTATCAGCCTCCCCACGAGGTAGGATTTGGCACAAGGCCGAGTTTAATGTGGGGCAATCTGAGTCTGTAGGCTCGTCCAAAAATTCCCCATGGACCCCCTATAAAACGGTGCCGGGTAACTGTTTCCCGAGACTAGACACTGCCCTTCGACATAGATCGTTTCCGGGCAGAGAATTAGACCAGCACAGCTAGAACAGATCTATTCAACTGTTCCGCCAAGGCTTTCTCTTCTACTAATCTTATAGTAAGCGGAGGAGTCTAACATAGTCTCTTTAGAGGAAGGACACCGTATCAAGAGCAAAAAAAAAAAAAAATGGTGTCAATCGCGTAAAAGTGTGAAAGATGTTTGCAAAATCATGAAGAATATTCCAGCAGTAGGAAAAATGGATTCTATATCAACTGTGAAGCAAAAATACAATTTGTAGGAGAGAGGGACCGGAAATCCGTAATACTGTTTGACCAGATATCGCTTTCTTATGTTAACGGGGACAATTCTTCCATAAATGGTATATTAAATAAAAGTTTATCAAACTATTATTTTTTTAGAAGTGTATCTCTGCTCGGACCTCCTATGGTTGATCTTAGGGATCATATACATGACAAAATAAAGGAAGTCGTTTATGATTGGCGGTACCAGCGTGGAAATGACAGATACTGAGCAAGGTTAAAGAAAGTTTGAGAGGAGTAAACCTCAATATACCCGGTGCAGAAAGACCGGCAAGTCATTGCACTATTCTGTCTTGAATGTCACCATGAACCACAATTACAACAGATTGAGATAGATAGATAGATATGAACAGACTGAAATAGATAGATAGAGAGATAGATAGTTATGAACAGACTGAAATAGATAGATAGATAGATAGATAGATAGATATGAACAGACTGAAGATAGATGAATGATATGAACAGAGATAGAATAGATAGATGTGAAACAGACTGAGATAGATAGATGAATGATAGATAGATAGATAGATAGATATGAACAGAATGAGATAGAGAAACAGATATGAACAGACTGAGATAGATAGATGAATGGATATGAACAGATTGAGATAGATAGACAATAAATATGAACAAACTGGGATAGATAGATTGATAGATAGATAGATATGAACAGACCGAGATAGATAGATAGATAGATAGATAGATAGATAGATAGATAGATAGATATGAGCAGACTTAGTGAATTGGAAGTTTTACCACAGTCTTAACAATATTAGATATGCAGATGACACAATATTGATAGTAGACAGAGAAAGGAAACTAAATGATGTAGAAGATCTCATAGAGAAGGCAGTAAAGGAAAGAGAGAAGAAAGGACTAAACCCAAATAGTAAAAAAATATACTATATGGTCATCAGAAAAAGAAACAGCCCAACATGAGATGTACAAATTGTAGATACCAAAATCCAGCAATACAAAAATTTACGAATTCTTTTAACAGAAGACCAGAAAATGTGACACTGAAATCAGCAGGGGCATTAGATTAGCGAAAAATGCCTTATAAAAGTTAAGCGAAGTCTTAAGGAACATGTCTTTCTGTCATTTGTTAGAAACAAAGAAAAAATACTGAAATTTTATATAATATCGGTCCTCCTATATGGCAGTGGATGCTGGACAATTTCCTCACAGATAAAGAAGAGATATGAAGCAACAGAAACAAAGAAAACAGTACTCTTATGTAATGTCAGTCTTTCTATATGACAGTGGATGCTGGACAATTTCCTCACTGATGAAGAAGAAACTAGAAGCAACAGAAAAAAAGAAAAGAGTACTCTTATGTAATGTCTGTCTTCCTATTTGACAGTGGATGCTGGACAATTTCCTCACTGATGAAGAAGAAACTAGAAGCAACAGAAACAATGAAAAAGTTTTATGTAATGTCAGTCTTCCTATATGGCAGTGAATGCTGGACAATTTCCTCACTGATGAAGAAGAAACTAGAAGCAACAGAAAAAAAGAAAAGAGTACTCTTATGTAATGTCTGTCTTCCTATATGGCAGTGAATGCTAGACAATTTCCTCACTGATGAAGAAGAAACTAGAAGCAACAGAAAAAAAGAAAAGAGTACTCTTATGTAATGTTAGTCTTCCTATTTGACAGTGGATGCTGGACAATTTCCTCACTGATGAAGAAGAAACTAGAAGCAACAGAAACAATGAAAAGAGTACTCTTATGTAATGTCAGTCTTCCTATATGGCAGTGAATGCTAGACAATTTCCTCACTGATGAAGAAGAAACTAGAAGCAACAGAAAAAAAGAAAAGAGTACTCTTATGTAATGTCAGTCTTCTATTTGACAGTGGATGCTGGACAATTTCCTCACTGATGAAGAAAAAAGAAGAAACAACAGAAAAAAGAAAAGAGTACTCTTATGTAATGTCTGTCTTCCTATATGGCAGTGGATGCTGGACAATTTCCTCACTGATGAAGAAGAAACTAGAAGCAACAGAAAAAGAAAAAGAGTACTCTTATGTAATGTCAGTCTTCCCTATTTGACAGTGGATGCTGGACAATTTCCTCACTGATGAAGAAGAAACTAGAAGCAACAGAAAAAAAAAAAAGAGTACTCTTATGTAATGTCAGTCTTCCTATTTGACAGTGGATGCTGGACAATTTCCTCACAGATGAAGAAGAAACTAGAAGCAACAAAAACAAAAAAAAAGAGTACTCTTATGTAATGTCAGTCTTCCTATTTGACAGTGGATGCTGGACAATTTCCTCACTGATGAAGAAGAAACTAGAAACAACAGAAACAAAGAAAAAAGTACTCTTATGTAATGTCAGTCTTCCTATTTGACAGTGGATGCTGGACAATTTCCTCACTGATGAAGAAGAAACAAGAAACAACAGAAAAAAGAAAAGAGTACTCTTATGTAATGTCAGTCTTCCCTATTTGACAGTGGATGCTGGACAATTTCCACACTGATGAAGAAGAAACTAGAAGCAACAGAAAAAAAGAAAAGAGTACTCTTATGTAATGTCAGTCTTCCTATTTGACAGTGGATGCTGGACAATTTCCACACTGATGAAGAAGAAACTAGAAGCAACAGAAAAAAGAAAAAGAGTACTCTTATGTCTGTCTTCCCTATATGTGAATTAGTCAATTTCCTATGATGAAGAAGGATGCTGGACATGTAATTCCTTTCCTATATGGATGAAGAACAAACTAGATGCAAAGAAACTAGAAGCAACAAAAAAAAGAAAAGAGTACTCTTATGTAATGTCAGTCTTCCTATTTGACAGTGGATGCTGGACAATTTCCTCACTGATGAAGAAGAAACTAGAAGCAACAGAAACAAAGAAAAGAGTACTCTTATGTAATGTCAGTCTTCCTATTTGACAGTGGATGCTGGACAATTTCCTCACTGATGAAGAAGAAACTAGAAGCAACAGAAACAAAGAAAAGAGTACTCTTATGTAATGTCAGTCTTCCTATTTGACAGTGGATGCTGGACAATTTCCTCACTGATGAAGAAGAAACTAGAAGCAACAGAAAAAAAGAAAAGAGTACTCTTATGTAATGTCTGTCTTCCTATATGGCAGTGAATGCTGGACAATTTCCTCACTGATGAAGAAGAAACTAGAAGCAACAGAAAAAAAGAAAAGAGTACTCTTATGTAATGTCAGTCTTCCTATATTTGACAGTGGATGCTGGACAATTTCCTATTTGACACTGATGAAGAAGAAAAGAACTAGAAGCAACAGAAAAAAGAAAAGAGTACTCTTATGTAATGTCAGTCTTCCTATTTGACAGTGGATGCTGGACAATTTCCTCACTGATGAAGAAGAAACTAGAAGCAACAGAAACAAAGAAAAGAGTACTCTTATGTAATGTCAGTCTTCCTATATGACAGTGGATGCTGGACAATTTCCTCACTGATGAAGAAGAAACTAGAAACAACAAAAAAAAAAAAAGAGTACTCTTATGTAATGTCAGTCTTCCTATATGACAGTGGATGCTGGACAATTTCCTCACTGATGAAGAAGAAACTAGAAGCAACAGAAAAAAAGAAAAGAGTACTCTTATGTAATGTCAGTCTTCCTATATGACAGTGGATGCTGGACAATTTCCTCACAGATGAAGAAGAGATATGAAGCAACAGAAACAAAGAAAACAGTACTCTTATGTAATGTCAGTCTTTCTATAGTGCAGTGAATGCTGCACAATTTCCTCACATATGAAGGTGAGGTTTGAATCAGCAGGAATATAATTCTACGGAAAGATGCTAGGAAAACAAAAGATTGTACACGTGATCAATGAAAAACTTTTTGTATCATTTTCTGTTGGCGAATAAACATGTATTTTTCTTTCTTTTTTTGTTTTCTCTTTCATTTTTCTTTCCATTCTTTTTTTCCTTTTGCATTTTCATTGTTTCCTCTTCGTTTTTATTCTTTTTACATCCTTTTCTTTTTAATCATATCTTTGCATCAATTTCTAGTATTTCATTTTTTCTTTCTTTTATATTTTCTTCTTTTCTTACATTCAGACTTTTCTTTCTTTTTCTTCATCTTTCTATTACCTTTTTAAACTTTTTTTTCATATATTTGCGCTATTTTTCCCGCTTTTTTCATTCATTTCTTCTTCTTTTTCTTTCTTTCTTTCTTTCTTTCTTTCTTTCTCTTCTGTCTGTTCTTATTCGTTTCATTTTTCATATTTTGCATTATTTTCACATTTTTCTTTCATTCTTTCTTTTTTCTTTCCATTCGTTTTCCTTTTATTTCTCTCGTAGACTTGCGTCATATTTCCCGCTTTTTTTCATTCATTTTTCTTTTCTGTCTTTCTTTCCATTCTTTTCCACTTATTTTTTACATATATGCATCATTTCTCTTGATTTCTTTCATTCATTTTATGATTTCTTTCTTTCTTTACTTGTCCATTCTTTTACCAGTCATTTTTGCATTTCTTTGTGTCATTTTCCCTCTTTCTTTCTTACTTTTTTCTTTCTTTCTTTCTTTTTTCCCTATTATTTGTTTCTAACTTTCTGTCATTTTTCTTCTTTCTTTCTTTCTTGCTTTCTTTCTTTTCCCTATTATTTGTTTCTATAGTTCTGTCATTTTTATTCTTTCTTTCTTTCTTTTTTTCTTTCTTTCTTTTTTTTTCCTATTATTTGTTTCTAACTTTCTGTCATTTTTCTTCTTTTTCTTTCTTTCTTGCTTTCTTTCTTTTCCTATTATCTTTCTATTTTCTGTCATTTTCTTCTTTCTTTCTTTCTTTCTTTCTTTCTTTTCCCTATTATATGTTTCTATAGTTCTGTCATTTTATTCTTTCTTTCTTTCTTTCTTTTTTCTTTCTTTCTTTTCTTTCTTTAGTTTTTCCTATTATTTATTTCTTTCTTTCTCTTTTTTTACTTTCTTTCTTTCTTTCTTTCGTTCTTTCTTTTCCTTTATTTGTTTCTATAGGTCTTTCTTTTTATTCTTTTCTTTCTTTTCTTTCTTCCTTTCGTTTCTTTCTTTCTTTCTTTCTTTCTTTTTCCTATTATTTATTTCTATCTTTCTCTCATTTTTCTTCTTTCTTTCTTTCTTTCTTTCTTTCTTTTCCCTATTATTTGTTTCTATCTTTCTGTCATTTTTCTTCTTTCTTTCTTTCTTGCTTTCTTTCTTTTCCCTATTATTTGTTTCTATAGTTCTGTCATTTTTATTCTTTCTTTCTTTCTTTCGTTCTTTCTTTCTTTCTTTCTTTTCCTATTATTTATTTCTATCTTTTCTCTATTTTTTACTTTCTTTCTTTCTCATTTTTCTTTCTTTCTTTTCTTTTCCCTATTATTTGTTTCTATCTTTCTCTCATTTTTCTTTTTTTCTTTCTTTCTTTCTTTCTTTTCCTATTATTTCTTTCTATAGTTCTTTTTGTTTTTATTCTTTCTTTCTCATTTTTCTTTCTTTCTTTCTTTCTTTCTTTTTTTTTCCTATTATTTATTTCTATCTTTCTCTCATTTTTTATCTTTCTTTTTCTTTCTTTCTTTCTTTTCTTTTCCTATTATTTATTTCTATCTTTCTGTTTTTTTTCTTTCTTTCTTTTTTCTTTCTTTCTTTCTTTCTTTCTTTCTTTTTTCTTTTTCCCTATTATTTGTTTTTCATTCTGTCATTTTTTTCTTTTCTTTCTTTCTTTCTTTCTTTTTCTTTCTTTCTTTTTCTTATTTATTTCTATTTTTTTCCTCATTTTTTTTCTTTCTTTCTTTCTTTTCTCATTTTTTTTCTTCTTTCTTTCTTTTTCTTTTTCTTTCTTTCTTTCTTTCTTTTTCCCTATTATTTTGTTTCTATCTTTCTGTCATTTTTATTTTTCTTTCTTTCTTTCTTTCTTTCTTTTCCCTTTCTTTCTTTCTTTTCTTTCTTTCTTTCGTTCTTTTCCCTTTTTTTCTTTCTTTCTCTCATTTTCTTTCTTTCTTTCTTTTTTCCCTTTCTTTTTATTTTTGATTCTATCTTTCTCTCATTTTTCCTTCTTTCTTTCTTTCTTGCTTTCTTTCATTTCCCTATTATTTGTTTCTATAGTTCTGTCATTTTATTCTTTCTTTTCTTTCTTTCTTTCTCTTTTCTTTTTTTTTATTTATTTTCTATCTTTCTCATTTTTGATCTTTCTTTCTTTCTTTCTTTTATTTCTTTCTTTCTTTCTTTCTTTCTTTCTTTTCCCTATTATTTGTTTCTATCTTTCTATCATTTTTCTTCTTTCTTTCTTTCTTTCTTTCTTTCTTTCGTTCTTTCTTTCTTTTCCTATTATTTATTTCTATCTTTCTCTCATTTTTATACTTTCTTTCTTTCTTTCTTTCTTTCCCTTTATTTTTTTATCTTTTCTTTTTTTTTCTTTCTTTCTTTCTTTCTTTCTTTCTTTTTTCTTTCTTTCTTTCTTTCTTTCTTTTCTATTATTTATTTCTATCTTTCTCTCATTTTTATACTTTTTCTTTCTTTCTTTCTTTCTTTTCTTTCTTTTCTTTCTTTCTTTCTTTCTTTTTCTTTCTTTTCCCTTATTTTTGTTTCTATAGTTCTGTCTTTTTCTTCTTTCTTTCTTTCTTTCTTTTTTTTTCCCTATTATTTGTTTCTATCTTTCTGTCATTTTTCTTCTTTCTTTCTTTCTTTCTTTCTTTCTTTCTTTCTTTCTTTCTTTTTTTTCCCTTTTATTTCTTTCTATCTTTTGTAATTTTTTTTTCTTTCTTTCTTTTCTTTCTTTTTTCCTATTATTTTTGTTTCTATAGTTCTGTCATTTTATTCTTTCTTTCTTTCTTTCTTTCGTTCTTTCTTTCTTTCTTTCTTTCTATTTCCTATTATTTATTTCTATCTTTCTCTCATTTTTATACTTTCTTTCTTTCTTTCTTTCTTTCTTTCTTTCTTTTTTTCCCTATTATTTGTTTCTATCTTTCTGTCATTTTTCTTCTTTCTTTCTTTCTTGCTTTCCTTCTTTTTCCTAATATTTGTTTCTATAGTGCTGTCATTTTTATTCTTTCTTTCTTTCTTTCTTTCTTTCTTTCTTTTTTCTTTTTCGTTCTTTTCATTCTTTCTTTATTTTACCTATTATTTATTTTCTATCTTTCTCTTTTTTTTTTCTTTCTTTCTTTCTTTCTTTTTTTCTTTCTTTTCCCTATTATTTGTTTCTATCTTTCTGTAATTTTTTCTTTCTTTCTTTTCATTCTTGCCTTCTTTCTTTTTTCCTATTATTTGTTTTTATCTTTCTCTCATTTTTCATCTTTCTTTCTTTCTTGATTTTTCTTTCTTTTCCTATTATTTGTTTCTATCTTTCTGTCATTTTTTATTCTTTCTTTCTTTCTTTCTTTCTTTCTTTCTTTCTTTCTTTCTTTGTTTTTTTTTTTCTTTCTTTCTTTTTTTTTATTATATTCTTTTTTTTTCTCTCATTTTTTTATTTTTCTTTCTTTCTTTCTTTCTTTTCCCTATTATTTGTTTCTATCTTTCTGTCATTTTTCTTTCTTTCTTTCTTGCTTTCCTTCTTTTTCCTATTATTTGTTTCTATCTTTCTGTCATTTTTCTTCTTTCTTTCTTTCTTGCTTTCTTTCTTTTCCCTATTATTTGTTTCTATAGTTCTGTCATTTTTATTCTTTCTTTCTTTCTTTCTTTCTTTCTTTCTTTCTTTCTTTCTTTTTCTTTCTTTCTTTTTCCTATTATTTATTTCTATCTTTCTCTCATTTTTATA